CCCTATGGCGATGGTGAGGTACTTGCATCCCTCTGGAACTGTAAGACTAAATGAAACCTTACTTTGGAAGGATGCCTTGGGCAAGGTGTTTTGTCATCACAATAAAAAATACTAATACACCCATGAAAATTATTATCAACACAAAAGGTATCCTTTTACCTGCTGTGGAAACGCTTTCCTCCTGGGAACAACTGCCTTGTGAGAATAAGAAACGTGGATGATTGCTTTTTAGTGAAGCAGGACTTGAAGCATTAGCCCCTGTGGAAGGACCAGGGCTCACTACTTCTGCCAGATGTAGCTCAGTTTCCCAGACCAAGGGCAATTACACCTTTCTTGAGAGACTTCCCTTCTTTGGTTATATACTGTTACATTACCATATGAAGTTAGACAAAGGCCTGTATTGTACATGTCCATCTTGAAGAGGCTTGAGGTTAGACTCCTAAAGTGGGACAAAATTGATAGAGAGTATTTCTATCTGATACCACATGATCCCGCCCACAGTCCACATGCCCCTGTCAGCTCCAACCGGAGGATGTACAATTTTCCACAGACCCCATGTTTACTCAAAAAGGCTCTATATGAGAGATGAGAACTTTTTTTTGAGACAGGATCTCATATACAAGGCTGGCCTCCCTTTTGCTGTATATCCAAGAATAATCTTGAATTTCTGAACATCCTGTCTCTATCTTCTTAGTGCTGAGATTAAAGGTCTGTGTCACTATGCCTAAATTATGTGGTACTGGAGATGGAACCCAGGGCTTACTGTTTGCCAGACAAGCATTCCACTAACTGAGCTACATCTCCATCCACAGAAGAAATCTTTGATTTAGCTTATGCTCTAAGCAGAGGGCACACTAATTCACCAAGACTCTGTGTTCTATTAATTTTTGTGCTGCATAGTCACCTACATGCAGATTGTGATTATATAGGCTTTACCTGATACAACTCTAGAAGATATCCTTAACAGAAAATCTTTATAGATTTCCATAATCTCTATAATCTAGGAAATATTGCTTACTATTTCTAATAATGGCTGTTGTATTCTAACACAAGGATATCATGTGGGTTAGAAGTTGGGTTGGTTCATAATCCCCATGTAAAGTGTGCCTTTTAAGCAGATGAGGATCCAAAGAATGAGAAGTATAATCCTGTGCAAGAAAGTGAAGACATGAAAGGACCTCAAATATCTATCAGCAGTAAATGAGTAAATATGACCTGTTCACACATCAAAATACTAAGCATTCCTTAGAAAGAATCCTCTAAAGCTCTAAACACTAGCATGGACAGACCTCAAATAATATAATGTTGAAAATTGGGTGTATAGAAGGTTATCACTTTGGTCCTTGTGGAGCTCCTATCCTTTCCTCATCAGACTAACTCCCCTTCTTTCTTATGATTCCCTGTACTCTGCCAAAGGTTTGGTCATGAGTCTTTGCTTTGAAAACACTGCTAGTTAGAGTCTTTCCAATGCGCTCAGTAGACTCCTGTCATATGAATGGGGAGGTGGTCCCCCCTATCAGTGGACTTGGCAAGGGGCACGGTGGAGAGGAGGGAGGGAGGGAGGGACAGGGAGGAAATGAGGGATCGGGACACGGCTGGGGTACAGAGTTAATAAAATGTAACTGATAAGAAAAAAATAAAATACAAAAAAAAAGAAGGTTATCACTTATATAACAGTACAATGTAGAATCAAATTCAAGATAAAGGTTGCCCCTTGATACAGATAGAAGAAGGGAAAGAGACTTAGGGAGGCACAAAAGCACAGGTCAATAATAACTCATTAATGATAAAATGTTGACATGAATTAAATCTGGGCCACGGTTACATAGGTACCTGTATTTTTGTATTCGTTTTTTAAAAATAACTCATTTTTTTTTAAGTTAAATAGAACAGAGAGGTTCATATTCATTTCCCCAAAGGAACCATGATATTCTTCTCCTCTGGTAATGAGTCCCAATTACTCAGTGTTTTCTACTTTTTCTTTTTTTAGTAAGAATCTTACTTTAAATGATTTTTTTCTGAATTCCTAATATATACAACCAATAAGAAGTGAGGTGCCCTGGGGCCCTGCTTTCTCATACTCCCTCTATGCATCTTAACAGGGTCCCCAAAGGCATTATGGAATTCAAGACTCCATGGAGTACAATGTGAAAGTTACTCACTCATATGACTGACAGTTAATTTCTCTAGGCCCATGTCAACAATTGTGGTATGGACCTTGAGTTATTCTCCCTTCTTCCTTTTCTGGTCCTTTCCTGCCCTGTATGCCAGGCAAACATTCTGCAGCTGAGCTATATCTTCAGCCACAGCACATTGCTCTCTAGTACCTCCTTTTATCAAGAACCTAAATATGCAATTATGTCACATCTTCAATAACTGACAAAATTAATAACTCTCAGCATATTAAGCTGTCATTTCTGGGATGCCCTTCTCACCATTGCCTAAATAAGAAAGATTTTAACACTACTTGTGTTAGCGAAATAAAGTTTAACGCAAAAATACAAAATTCAAACATTTTAAAAGAAAGCAAGTCTTCCTTCCATAAAGGAAAACATTAAATTATTAAGGGTGAATATAGTTAATATGTGCATTTATATGTGAATCTGTTATTTACAATATTAATAGTAAAGAAAAGATATAAAGTAACCTTCAAAGACTGTCTAACATCCATGTTTAATATGGAATCTCTATGACTAATATGTCAGAATAAAAATAGTGCAAATAGTTTCAATGTTATAAATGCTCACACATTTTAACATTTTATATTAACAAAATTTAATTTGTTCTGCTGGGTGACCTTATGCCATATATACATGTCACATTTTTTAAAATAATCTTATTCAATAAAATACTACAGTTGACCATTTAAGTATACTAAAATCAAGGTTTTGAGAGAGTTCAGTTCATCCTACAATGTAAATGCAGTTTATCAAATACACAACTTGTCTGCAGTAGTTGAATGGATATAGATACCTGTACTTTGGCTGGTATATGGTAAAACCTATACTACTACAATGTGAAAACAACTCTGAAGCATCCTTTATAAGGGCAAAGGTAAATGAAACCCTGATAGATTGCTTGAGTGTTGAGATGCCCGTCTTCAGAAAGTCACAGAAAGAGAGCAGACAACCTTCAGGCTGGAAGGTTTACTTCCATGTCTGACACCACACAGAAGAGATGTCCAGGAACAGGACCTGTGAGCAGAGCAATATACACAGAAGACATGGAATAGACTCTATGATTCTTGTTCCAGGATACCAAGATTAATTCTAGAATTTTCATAAGCAGTAAGTCACTGCTTCAGTTCTGAGAGTGGATAAAGGACCAATGTGAAATGTACCCATCCACCAAAGGCTTAGTTTATCTCGGATCCAACAATATGCAATAACTATTCATCAGATAGGAAATGCCATGTTCCAGCTAATCAAATATTTTTTGCTAATTGTTACCACATGCAGAAGGATTACAAATTTTTTAAAGAATGAGAATAAATTAAAATACACTTAACACTGCAACTAAACTGATTATAATTTAATCTTTTTCTAATTATTCAGAATGCATTTCAGGGTCATCAGGAGGACCATAAATTATCAGCGCTTGATGACTATGCAGGAAGTCACACTATTTCTAAGATCCTGGCTCACAGAGGCTAGGTAACAGGGAATTCACTGCAAAAGTTAGTATTTGGAGGATTTATGTGCTAAGCATTTTTCTGAGATATGAAGTACATCATCAATCCTCATCAAAAGAGAATTTCGAGAGATGATGTGCTGATATGTCCATGGAAACAGAATAACTTTCCCAGTATCACAGGATAGCAAAGCTTTTGAACACCAATCTGTCTTTAACTGATAGGTTCGAGTAAGCATATCTTTGTTATATAAAAGTATTTGTAGACATCTCAGCCTGGCTATTCAGAATGAGCACACAATCAGGGGTCATGCTGTTAGTTTATGTAGATGGGTTGAAGAATATTTTTGAGCCATACTCCACACAGCAGCCATAAATTTAGCAAGACAGTATATGTAGGCCAAGACATAGGTGTAGGTGTGTGTTTGTGTGTCTCTGTGTGTATATCTGTGTTTGTCTGTCTGTGCCTCGTCTATGTCTGTCTGTGTAGTATTTGTAGAGAGTGCTCGTTGTCAGGAGAGGTGGATGCTCTCCTGTGTGTGCGTGTGGTATAATCCACAGGTCAACATGCAGAGTCGTCCCTCCATCTCCCTTTACCTTATTGTTTGAGGAAGGTCTCTCGTGGATCCTGGAACTCATCACTTGGATAGACCAGCTAAGCCTGCAAGAGCCCCAGGGATTCCCCTCTATCCTGTCACTACCTAGGGATGGTGTGTGTGTGTGTGTGTGTGTGTGTGTGTGTGTGTGTGTGTGTGTGCTTGTCTTTTACATGGGACTTGGGATTTGAACCCAGGTCATGACATGGAGCTAGCACTTTCTTCATGGTGCCACGCCCAAACCTGATAAAACAGTTTTGAAGGTGTTTGCAGACAAAATAAGAAATGTTAATATAAACAATCAAATCCTGAATACCTTAGGAAGAAAGCATTTTTAGAGACTAGCCCATATAAACCCCAGTCACTTAAAACTCATCAGCTGCTCAATGGACACTAATATACACTAAAAGAGACGTGTTTATTCATCTGTATACAAATGGTACAAATTCTAATATTGCTGATCATTTTGAACTGTGAAACATGAGTCTAAATTATTACTCACAGAAGATGGTCTTTTACAGTTACTCAAGATTTGGGGCTGAGTTTAAATCCCTTTTAAAAAACGGATTTCAGTTCTCAGGACAGAGAGGTTAACGCACACATAGTCCTTCTCTTATTCATTCCCATTATCTACTTTGTAAATCCACGCTCATTCATTTCTTTTTTCCACATGAAACTGTTATGGCTCCTGATTCGCTTTCACTTGCCGGCCCCAGTAAAATTCCTCATAATTAAAATGCTTTCTCTTCTTCTATCCATAATGGTTCCACTTACCTCTAAAGAGCCAGTGACTCCTGTGAAGGTCTTCCCTAAACAAGAAGGACAGTGGAATTGAACTTCAGAATAGCAGAAAGGAATCTCAGGTCATGCTATTTCTTTAGCTAATATCAGGCCCACATGGGACACTTTGCTGGTGAGAGGACAGCCCTGTCCAAAGATTTGAGCATACTTCTACCCATAACATTTACAGATAATCCCTACAGGTGACTTTCTGTTCCAAAAGGAACTATTTAGATCTCCAGGACCAGGAAGCTACATACATTGTATGAAAATAAACCCTGCCTAAATGGTAATCTGAGGCAAAAGCAGCCTTAAACTGTTTGAAGATCAAAATGGAAAATGGACACCCCCCCCCCATGCAAAGTCTGCACAGAATTCTGGCAGAGCAGTGGTTCTGATTGCCACAGCTTGATCTTTCCTTCTGATTCTTAGTCAGGGACAGAAGTTTCCTGGTCACTTTAAATTTATGGGAAGTTAATAGAACTGTATCACTTAGCTGAATTAAATTAGGTACTAGCAGCAAAGTTTGAAAAATCATACATAACTGTCTTAAAACTTGATAAATAGATGGCACTGGCCTTGAGGATATCTCAAAGATATCCTCACCCTGTAGAGTGACTCCGGTAGCTTTCCTTCCCAGAAGAGGGGTATAGACACTGATGCTCTCTGCTGACCTTTCTACCCAACTTCTGTGAAACTCTGTGGTCTGCACAGCGACTGTGTAAGACTTGAATGCAAAGTAAATCCCTGACTCTACTAACTTGGAAGGATAACTTTCTGAGGGAGAAAAAGTGAGATTCATCTCAGTTTCGGTGGTCGAGGAAACATACAGACTGAGGATGGAGAACATGGTACCCAGAACCTACGTCAGTACCAATAGAAACAGCAAATTGAAGAGCAAAGTTTAATTTTATGTTCAAATGAATGGGAACAATGTTAAAATTCAAAGTGACTGGATACAAAGAATTAAGACATTTTTTATAAGACCATTAATTAGATGTCTTAGGCTTAATTCCAATGGCTTAAGAAATTAGCAAGAGTCCCAATAAAAGTATACCTCTTCAGAAAGAATGTTTAGAAGGCCACAGAGTTATTATTATTGCAGGATCCACAAAATATTATCTATTTCAATTCTCCTGTTCAAATGGAGAAACTGAGGCACAGAGCAATTAAGCATATTTATACAAAGATAACCTGAATGTTTGGCATGTTGATTAAGGAATCTATTACTCTCATAAGACGTACCTGGACTTGTGCCTCAGCCTGTCATCCCAGCAGCTTGGGACTCTGAAGTAGAAGATTCACAAGTTCAAGTCTGGCCTGAGCTATGAACTGAGTTCAAGCCGCCCAAGCAAAGTTACAAGTCACTCTCACTAAAACAAAACTCAGAAAAACAGAGAGAGTGCTCACTGGTGGAGCTCTGGGTCAGCATGCTCTGGTCCTAGTTATGCCACAAAAGGGTGCAGGAAGGGTACATGCAATTAATCCCCATGCATAATCACAATGCCTGAAATATATTTTATAGAAATCAAAACAATTACCTCATCCTTAAAACACTTAAAAAGAACATAATTGTGGAGTCAATCTAGTATTTTACTGAAATTCCCAAAAGTAATTCAGTTTCCCCATTAATCTAGACTCTATCTTCTTGCTATGCAAACATTGACTGAGCACTTACTGAATAGTAGGTATGTAATTCAAAGTTCCAAAATGTTTTTCTGGTCAGCTTTCACCTTCCAAAATGATAGACACAGTGTTTATGTCCTCTGCTTCTGTCTACACATGCTCGTTCCCTTTCATAACTTCCATTTTCTTCTGTAAATGGCTTTCCTCCTCCCTCTCAAGGCTTACAATAAGTATTGTCTTCGGAATCAAAGTGTCTCTCAAGTTGCATCTTGCCAACTGTCTTATACAATAATCACCTAATTGTGACAAGGCTGCAGGTAAGCAAGAAGCCCATGAGGCAGCTATGCTGCCAACTGTTGATGGTTCTATTTGTAACACTGCTCATTTCCTTCCACACAATGTCAGGTGCACCACTGAAAAACTAATGTAGGATATGGTTAACCAGTGATGCACACAATGAGAGGTCTGTGCAAGTTTGACAGAAACAACACTTAGGTCATTGTGGAATGATAGAGCACCACGGGCAATGGTAGAATTGTAAAAGAGAAGGCCATGGAGGTGAAGGCCACAGGACCAGTGAGAACAACCCCAAGTAACACTCTGAACCAGCATCATGAACCCAGAATCTCCTTTGATACTTACAGGTGCTGATGTATTCTGAGGAATGTCTGTCTTTGGACACTAGAAATTTTGTTAAGCTTCCTATGCAAGATAGCTACCACATGGCTGTCCATTATTCCCCATTCTCTCCATGAGCATACACTGGCCAAGAGAACACCTCCTAACAGAGTTTGAAAGAGGCAGTCCTTATCAAACAAAGTTGAGATCTCTCACCTCGCTCCAAAGCAGGCTTGTTTACTCCCACTGAAATACCAGAGTGTTATGGTCACTTTGGATATCTAGAATCAAGAGGCAATATAGACAAGTATGGGGCTGGAGAGCTTGCCAGGGGTCAAGAGCAATAGGGTTCAATTCCCAGCACCCACATGCTTGCTCACAATGGCCTGTAACTCTAGTCCCAGGATATCTGATGCCCTCTTCTGGCCTCTGTGAGCATTGCAAACAGGCTACATCACAAAAACCACAGGGAGCATTGTGTGAAAAACAGTGTGCAATCATCTAAATTTTACTTAGAATGAAGAAGTTCTTGCATGGAAAAAGGTAATGTGAAATCTACAATAAAATAAAGATGTTTAATATTGATTTAAAAATTACTGCAAACAGGTGCACACACATACATGCAGGCAAAACACTCATACCTATAAAATTAATTAATTAATCAATTAATGTTTAATTAATTGATTAATTAATTAATTAATAAGACTTATGAATAAACCAAGGATTATGCATGGAGAGGAACCTAGACACCCTGCTCAGATGTAGACCATGGGCAGTTCAGTCTCCATAGGGGTTTCCTAGGAAGGGGAGCAAGGGCAGTCTCAGCATGAATTTGGTTACCTGCTCATTGATCATCAATCTCTGGCAAGGAGGCCTTAGTAGGCCACAGAGAAAGAGGATCCAGACAGTCCTGATGGGACCTGATAGGCTAAGATCAGATAGTAGGTTGAGGAGGAGCTCCCCAACCAGTGGACTAGGGGAGGGACTTAGTAGGGGAAGAGAGAAGTAGGGTGGGACAGGCAGGAGATGAGGGAGGGGGCTACACCTGGGATACAAAATGAATAAATTATAATAAATAATAATAAGGTATCAAAATAAATAAATTAATAATTATTATAATATAACATAGACAGGTATTTATGACACCTTTCATTTATACCTGGAACTCTCTGGGAAATCTCTTCTCAATTCCTGTTGCCTTTCACGGTCCTTTTTATTACTATTATTATTTTACTTTTTTATGATTTATTCACTTTATATCCAATTGTAGCTCCTTCCCTAATCTCCTCTTCCCATTCCCACCCTTTCTCCCCCTCCTCCTCTATCCCCATCCCTTAGTCTTCAGTAAAGGAGAGCCTTTCTTCTTTACCATTTGACCCTAGCCTATCAAGTCTCATCAGGAATGGTTGGATCCTCTTCCTCTGTGTCATAGCAAAGCCACCCAGACAGGGGGAAGTGAAAAAGTCCATGTCAGAAAAAGGCTCTGCTCCTCTTACTAAGGAACCCACAAGGAGACTGAGCTGCCCTTGGGCTACATCTGAGCAGGGGATTTAGGTCCTCTCCATGCAAGGTCCTTGGTTGGTGCATCGGGCTCTGCAAGCCCCTCTTGTTATTAAAGGTAATTATTAAAAATTACTGTAGAATCTTTCCTTATTTCCTTCAATTTTCTGAATTTTTGTTTAGTTACTCTTCCTATTAGGAAGCTAGGCTTTCATCAAATACACGAACTTCACCTGGTTTCCTTGAAGGTCCTTTTTACAGTTGCAAAAGTAAAACTGAGCTTCTGTGGGCTGCTACATAACAAAAATCTATAGCATGGTTTCTGTGAGAAACACTAAGTCAGTGTGCAGTCATCTAAATTTCACTTAGAATGAAGAAGTGCTTTTATGGGAAAACTACAGTAAAATGAAGATGTTTAATAGTAACTTTAAAATGTGCTGGATCTGGGCTGGTGAAAGACTTTAATTACCATATCAGAGCAAATGAAACTAGATTAAAAGCCTCAATGAATGTCAAAGTTCAAAGTTTTTTTGTGTGTACGTATATATGCATATATGTGTGTATAGATGCTACACGTGACTCTGAACATTCCTAGATACTACTGAAGTATCACTTGGTCATAGTACATGTGGAAAGGATAGGAGCTCCACAAGGACCAAATATATCTGGGCACAGGGTCTTTTCTGAGACTGACACTCAAACAAGGACCATGTATGGATATAACCTAGAACCTCTGCGCCAATGTAGCCTGTGGTAGCTCAGTAACCAACTGGTTTCCCATAGTGAGGGGAACAGGGACTATTTCTGACAGGAACTCAATGGCAGGCTCTTTGACCTCCCCACCCCCCAAGGGAGGAGCAGTCCTGCTAGGCCACAGAGAAGGACTTTGTAGCCAGTTCTGAAGATACCTGATAAAACAGGATCAGATGAATGGGGAGGAGGTCCCCCCTATCAGTGGACTTGGAAAGGGGCAGGGAGGAGATGAGGGAGGGAAGGAAGGAGGGTTTGTGAGGGAATGAGGGAGCAGATACAGCTGGGATACAGAGTTAATAAAATGTAACTAATAATAAAAAAATAAAATTAAAAAAAAGAAAAAAATCTGACAGGCATAGATTTTGAAAGTATACCACTGACTCCCATTTGTGCTGAAAAACACTGAAACACAAGCTATACATCTTGCCCAGAGTGATGAACAACCTAACTAAAGTGTAAGGCACAGGGCTGAGGAGGTCAGCAAAGCGCTTTCTGTACAAGCATGGAGACCTGCTTTCAACTCCAGCACCCA